CAACAGAGTTAAGGTTTTTACCCGCACGCTGCCCACCTCCACGTTTTCTCGTTTTTTCGTTTTCACGCAGTCACACCTCCTCCTATATTTAAAACACCCCCTCTCTCATTTTCTTTTTGACATTTCTTACGCAACCACTATAGCAGGGGTTCTTAACCCATGCCGGTCCACGGATCCCAAAGGATGGGCTTCAGGGGCTCTGTGAACCACACTGTATGCAAAATTTTGTGTTTATGTGCTTATGTGCATTTTTCTGGGGCTGGGTCAGTAGCTTTCACCAGACTTTCAAAGGGTAGATACAATAATGTAACCCAACACAAGAGTAGGGTTACAACGCGAGCCTATTCTTTTCTTTGGAGGAGCCCCTGAGTGATTCACTCAGGGCGGTTTTATGGTGCATTTTTCGAGACTAGAACTTCCAAACTGGGTTTATTCTAAACACGAAACTTTCTCCGCTATCCTGGGACTTACTATGTATCACAATACTCTGCATTAAACTAATATAACCTGTTACAAAATTTTGAAGCGACGAGCGACGATATTTCGAGCGCCATTTCTGGTGACCTGTGACGCTGGCTTTCCCAATGTGCATAGCGATCGGCAAACTTCGGTCAGCTTTAGCAGTGCGCTGCGAGCCCTCCGATTGATCGGTAAAGGATACGCGCCACATCCACGTGCTATATTATTTCTCAGGCATCCTGTGATGCATCCGCTCTTCAAACCGAAGTTTGCCGATCGCTATGCACATTGGGAAAGCCAGCGTCACAGGTCACCAGAAATGGCAGGGGTCGAAATTAGATTTTTATTATGGTATCCATTCGGGATACCAGGTATTGAAATCTGGTATTTCCCCCCAAAGATCTGGTATCCCATTTTTTGGATAGTAATTTCAACAATGTTGGTATCCAAAATCTTGAAATATGCAATAATAGCATTTGAAAATTATGAATATGCAAATTGTAATGTAATTATTATATAAAAACATGAAAACAGATTCACAGATATACGCACAGACAAGTACACTGCAGACGTATTGTCTAGACGCATTGTCTGGTTCGCTTGATACAATGTATACACATCACATTTATGATCAACATCGGCCACGGCCATGGCTTTACGCTTGCGCTTGCAAATATGCTATGCCTGCTGTATAACGTAGTATAAGATAACGCTAGTGTCATAGTAATAAGGGTGCCTGAGCCCACTCAGATCGCGCGCACTCGCTCTACGCGCACTCGCTCTACGCGCACTCGCTCAGATGCGCTGCCGTATAAAGTTGATAACTCAACAATCACTATCCCGATTTTGACGATTTTTTTTTTACTATCCCGGCAGGATACCAAGCATTGAAATCTGGTATCCAACACAAAAATCGACTATCCCGCGGATATCGGGATACCGCTAATTTCGACCCCTGAATGGCGCTCGAAATATCGCCGCTCGTCGCTTCGAAATTTTGTAACAGGTTATATCAGTATAAAGTAACTATTGCGAGAGTTTTCCAGTGTTTTCACCACTTTCATGACACCTACCGTTATTGCTTGAGTAACAGCAATTGTCTAGAGTAACAATAAAATGTCTTAGAACTAAAACACGAATTGGAAGTTTAGGTGTGTGCGT